TCATGATGATAGAGGTTAGTGCCACTGGCCTGTAGTCATTGAGACGGGTAATGTTCTTTTTTGGCAGAGGGATGACGGTGGAGGACTTTAAGCATGACGGGATGGAGCACTGGGTGAGGGACTGATTAAAGATCCTAAAAACCCCAGCTAGCTGGTCTGCACAGACCCTCTCTGTCACACCAACAGCTTTCCGGGGATTCACAGCCCTCCGGGTTCTCCAGACTTCCTGTACAGTGATGGTCAGGCTGTGGAGGGATGTTGGCTACAGTAGGGGCTCTGCTAGTGATTCAGACTCAAAACGGGCGAAGAAGTGATTGAGATTTTGGTGGTGTGCTGGATCTGAAGTCAGTGATGTGCTGGACTCCTTGTCACACCTGCCGGCAGGTGTTGCTGCTGAATTCCTCCTCAATCCGCTGCTTGTAGTTTGCCTTGGCCTCTTTGATGCCTCTCTTCATAGAGGCTCAGGAACAACTGTACAGATCTCTGTCCCCAGATCTGAAAGTGCTATTTCTATCCATCAGCAGTTCCTTGACTTCTTTATTCATCCAGGGCTTCTGGTTTGGAAACACCTGGATGTGCTTCTCCACTGTGATGGTGTTAACACAGTGTTTGGTGTAGACGAGAACTGTTGAGGTGAATACCTCCATGTCCTGGCACCAGAAACTGTCTGTGGTTGCTAGACAGTCCTGCATTTGCTGAGTGGCAACGTGAGGCCAAGATTTCATAGTCTGTATTTTGAGGTTGCCATTTTTTTCATTGGTTTGCAGCAACAAATGGGGGAGCTGAGTGGTCCTGTATCCATGCTCTTGAGAGCGAGTTTATAGTTTATATCTGGCTTCTACTTGTTCCAGTCAATCCAATTGTCTGTGAATGTAACACAACTGGTTGGGGCTCATAGAGGGCAGTATTTACAAAAGTTTGAAATAGCTAGCTTAGAAATACCTCCTTATTCCTGATGTGTTCATCAAATTAATGACTTTAACTAAATTCACACCACATGGTTTATATCACTGTCATAAACAGCATTTCCCTACTAGAGCAGCCTTAAAGATGTTCAAAAGACGAGATGCTAACCAGTTTTTTTCATACATGTTAGGCTAAATGATGGTGCCTCATTGTCTCCATGGTTACTAATGGTTAGACACATACATTCTCCATACAGCAATATTTTATGTCTTTCCAGTCACACTTACTGTTACGACCCGGCTCATTGAGCCGTAACAAAAACCAGGGAGACACGGCCTTCAACAATAAATATGCTCCTTATTGAGCAACACATACAACAAACAGAACGAAACAGCAACAAGCGGGCGGCCCCCTGTGGACGATGGCATCTCTGGAGCTGGTGGTAAGTGGGGAAGTCCTGCGAAAGAAATACCTACCTATATTTTTCCCAGAGCAGATCAATTTTGCTGCGAGGTTGAAAAATAATTGTGTCAATCTTTTTTCTTTCTTTCTTTCGTTTTGCTCATCCAATAGTCAGCCATGCAAAGAAGACAAGATATTTTGAATGACTCACACATCGAGATATTTTTGGGAAGTCACAGAGAAACTGATTATCATAAAAATTGGTTCTTTTTTCATTTTACCTTCTATGTTGATAGGTACTTATGGTTTTCAGGTCTCTGTTGGCTGTTGAAATTTGGTTTTGTTTGTTAGATAACATGCACTTTAAAGTTTATTCATGTCGTTTTTCATTTTGTTTTTATTGCAAAAATACAGTCAGCAGTTGCGCTCTTTCTATAAGCCAAATGTGACTATGCAGTGAAGCTAGCTAAAAATGAATAAGCGGACTTTTACCCTTCATGGTGTTATAAGAGGGGTTGAGTGGACCCGGGCAGAACTTTTTATACTCTGTGTGGTCCACGTGCAGTTTTACAAGTTTTTTTGTTTTGTTTGAGAATGCCCTGTTGCTTCTCCATTGACTAACCATGACACCTGCTGCGCTCTGCCCCAGCATCACTGTAGACTGGCTAAGTTTTTATTTGTGCATAAAAACTTAGCCAGAGGATTAAATCATTAATATCATAATTTAACTACTTTAATTGTATTATTGTATCCACTGTTAGAAAATCAAATTTAAATATATTAAAACTTAAAAGTGGAATAGACTTCTTGTGCAAGATACAGTTTTGAAAACCTTTTCAAAATCTTTCATGAAGTTGCAATTGAAAAATGGTGTATTGTCTCAAAATCTCACTCACAAAACCCACAGGAATCGATATTTATCTAGAATTTCTTTAGCAGAAGGGTACTACAAGGAAAATTTTATACATAATTATGAAATTAAATTGAACTCAGGTCACAGACGCAGATCAGCTGAGGATGGCCACTTCTTGATGAAGCACAGTAATGCTACTAGTTCCAGGCTTAGAGACAAAAGACCAGAAATATAACAAAACAAATTTGTTAGTGAAATGATTAGCCACTCTGTAACATTTCTGATAAAAATACAATTTGTCAAAGATAACTACCTACCACCACAAAATCTAGAAGGTATGTTATTGTGGTGTTGGCGCTAAGATGACTTGCATCAATAGGGGGCAGTAGATTTGTCAACAACACAAGTATGTTACAAGTCTGATCTGAAAATGAACCAATAGCCAAACTCTAAAAATCTTTACTTTATTGTATGGGTACGGTGGCCCTGAGGTGCAAAACACTACAACATTAACGAAGCACAATTACAAATACAAAAACACAACAACATTAAGAAAACGGAAAAGGTAGGTCCCAGTGGAGACCTAAGGAATCGCTGATTGGACTATAGCTCGTTTTACTTCTGAACCGGAAGTTTTTCTGGAGACCCTTTTCACAGTGATGTCAGACAATGGCCGCCGTAACTCGAAGAGGTGTATCTTTACTTCTGGTGTGATTTTGCCTCGGGAAACCTGACTGAAAAATTCACGGATACTCATTATCTTAAGGATATACTAAAAGGTAAGGTTAATTACAACAGCATTTAAGTGTTAGCCGTTATTACTCATTGTCAATCCACCATTCTCTAACTGTATATAATAAACAGCCTCCGATTGGAGAATAAACCAGCTAGCAGCAGCTTTAGCCACAGTTGGGAACATATATATATATACACCGCTGTCTGTCAGTGCTGTAACATTTAGAGGTTCATTTTCTGTCACACTCAGCC